AAGTTTAGGCATAATGGATTTGTCGCGGCAGGCTCTCTGATTGAGCTCCAATCGGAGACGCACTTCGTTGCTGATCCGCTTAGAGGCAAAGCAAAAAGTTTCTCAAGGTGACGAAGACCGCCATGAAAATATGGCTGTGGACGACAAAGATGTCCAGGTTTCTGGGAGATTTCTCGAAGCCTGTATGCATTTCAAGTATGGGATTAAATAGTTTTGAAGAAGGGGTTGTTTCGAATCGTTTGGCTGAAAAAAGTGGCAGCATACGTGAGGCAATCGCTGTATAGGACGCGAACTGACGGACGGACAGAGACTGTAGCTTTATTATATGGGGGGGGGATTATTCGACTAACAGCTCTGTAAGCTCCGGCTCCCTGGCGCAATCGTTGGCGTCGTATCTGCTTGAAAGGTATCCGAGGGCTGATGAGGCGCGTGGATATCGCGTCCAGTTGTGGGAGATTCTCCGGTTCTGCTGGATAGCAAAATCCATTGTAGACCACCAGCGATGACACTTTACCTTCACTGATTGATTCCGCGCAAGCGTAACACAATTTGGCATTCGTCGCGATACAATTATTCATTTCCTCAAGTTTTGCAAAATGCACCGACGTAGCTGATTGGAGGTCGTTACGGAACCAGAGACGATCGCACACCGCACATGCGTGCCCGTATTCGTGGTCGAGAATTGGTGAATGGTCTGAGCAGCCGATCCGGTCTTATAAGGGCGGCGCCGGCGCGGCGGCTTTTCGTAGGGCGCAAGCAACGGACTTTACCCTAGCACACAAGCGTCGCACATTGGGGTATCTTGAGCTGAGAGCGATCAAAAATAATTCCGGTTGTCTGAGGCCCAAAATGAGTGTCGCCATCGATGATTCCGGCCTAAATCAGGATCTCGTATATCTCGGAATTCTAAAATTCGCCTCAGGATTCGCTCACTAGCGAACGATTTGTTGGTTTCCATAGGCCTTCATGTAAAATATTTAACATGGAAGCCTATGGGAAAATGGAAAATCGTTTCCTGGCAAGCGAACTAGAAGAGATAGAGGTTCGAGTCCGCTTGCGAACTTGTGGTTCAGGTCCTCGACTTCCATCGGTACCATCTCAGAAGCCAGAATCGCGGAAGCCAGAATTGTGAAAGCCAGAATGGCGAAAGCCAGAGTTGTGAAAGCCCGAATTCGTGAAAGCCCGAATTTGTGAAAGCCCGAATTGTGGGAGCCCGAATTCGGGGAAGCCCGAATTTGTGGGAGCCCGAATTGTGAAAGCCCGAATCTATAAAAGCCCGAATTCTTGGGAGCCAGTATCTGTGGGAACCCGAATTTGTTAAAGCTAGAATCCTGCCAACCGGGGTGAGCCTACACTCGACTCTTTACTAGATCAATTTTCTCTGGAGTAGAGACCGCCAATCGGTGAAGCTTGAATGGCCCTTGTGCCATTTGTCGCAGTGGTGCTTATCTGGGACCTCAGAGGAGACATTCATATACGAACGTACGTCGAGTGGGACTTATCGACACGGCCGTGTTTTGTTCCAAAGCTGTGGTGGTGTTTGGAACTGTGCGTTCGGAGTTCGGAGATGTGCTTCAGAAGCAATAAAAATCTTGCTCTCGAGTTTTGTGTTCCCCGTCGTCGACCATTCTGACCATTGAGCTTCGACCAAGTCCGTGAAGACGATTCCCTGGGCTGAAGGGGGGCGAATTACGATTCACGAGTGAGCGTACCCGCGAGCCCGATACCCTTGATTAATTTCGGCTCCCTTGCGATCGCTCCCGTCTGTGGCATTCGAGACGTGACTTGAGCTGTTGAAAAGCTGTAGACTGTAAACCGAGCGAATAATAAGAAGGGGTATGAGGTCCCCTCCCGCCTCCGTACATCTGACAGTTTCTTCTTGCTCCTCCCGGCGCCACGAATCCGGGCTCCCACTACCTAATTCTGGCTTCCACAATTCGGGTTTCGACAATCCGGGCTTTCAAAACTTCTGGCTCCCACAATTCGGGCTCCCACAATTCGGGCTTTCACAAATTCGGGCTTTCACAAATTCGGGCTTTCACAATTCTGGCTTCCACAATTCTGGCTTTCACAAATTCGGGCTTTCACGACTCTGGCTTTCACAATTCTGGCTTCCGAGGCAGAACCGAAATTTTTCTCCCCAATCATCAGCCGCGTTGTCCTTCCATTATCGAGCTCTGCCGGGCTCGTTGATCTCCATGGGGGAGACCATCTTCCCTCGGATGCCTGACCTGAGGATGTTACTGCGATCTGACTCCCCACGGCTGATCGTGAGCGCACGACGGAGTCGGGCACAGACTCAGACTTCGGAATCCCGGTTTCGATGCTTCTCAGTAGGTAGCCTGGGGCAGGATTATCCGAGCATCTGACTATTTCCTCCTGAGCGGAATTATAGAGCGAACTTGAGCTCCGACACCGAAAGACTTATTTGCTTGAATGGCGCGAATATGTGAGAATAGCTCAGAGCAGACGACGCCGACGGCGAAGCATTCCCTTCAGAGGCCTCTTGTGGTTGCTCGATTGGTCCATATCTAACCGCGAACCGACTCCTTAGATCGGGAGCTTTTCCATTCGATGTCCATTACTCCATGAACCCGGACGTGATCTCGTCGAGGAGAACGGAGATTGAGATCTAAATACGTAATCCTTACCAAGCGCGAAACGCACTTCCTGCGGGCTCCATCTGCGCGCCCGTGATCGCTTGCAAGCGACTTGAGAATGGAGGAGTAAGCGAGCTCGAGGAATGGGGGTCGCGTATTCCTTCGAACTTTTCTGTGTCACGATGCCTAGATGAACGGAGTCCTCCTCGCGAGCTTTCTCTTAATTTCACAGTCTGTCTCGAAATCTCAATTCATCCGAGCACAGCCTCCGCGCCCTCCATGATGCATATCTTCGACGCAGAAGTGGAGCAGCTGATTCGAAGTTGCTCGGTGCGAAGAGGTTCCCCCTATCCCCCTATCCCCCTATCCCCCTATCCCCCTATCCCCCTATCCCCCTATCCCCCTATCCCCCTATCCCCCTATCCCCCTATCCCCCTATATAATGAAAGCGCTGTGTCCGTCCGTCCGTTCGCGACTTCTCGACGCTTTCCCTCCCTTGATTCCGCTTCCAAACAGGCTCATCGGATGCGGGATGATACCGCGGTGTGCAAGTTGGCCTTCTTTCGAGGTTTTATTAGTCGTTTACGGAGTAAATGCCGAAAGAAAGGAAACTTCTTCATGAATATCCGCCTAGACTGAAATGCTTCGGATGACGTCATTCGGATGATGGTTATTCGACTTGATCAATTCTTCCTTTCATTAGTGAAACAGTCCAAATAAGCAATGAAACAAATAATGTCTTCTCCTCGAAAGAGGGATGCTTGAGAGAAGCTTTATAAACCGCC